TCACTCTAGGAAATGATTGGAGTGGTGAACTCTTATGTGTTATGCATTTTTTCAGATCTTGCTTTATTTTCACATTTCATGTATTGGTGAGACTTGTATTTTGGGGCTTGCAAATGTGACTTGGGAGTTGATACTGGTTGCCATAAACACAGAATTATAATTCCTGAATTCTTCTCCAACTTGGATTTTACTCCAAGCTGGAGAATTGCTCTTTTATCTACATCCATCAAATATGCCCCCACCCAACTCCCTTAAAAAAAAAAAAGACTCACAAAAAGCCCTTGGGAAACCATACTTCCAGTCTGTGGTATTTACTATTGACCCTCTGCCACACTGTGCAGCATCACATCAGGTTGTCCGGGATTAGTTGTGATTCCTGCATTGTAGGAAGTTGGACTAGATGACACTTTGGGTCCCTTCCAACTATACAATTTGATGGTTCTAGGTGGCAGAGAGGTCTTCCTGCCCTACTACCTATTGCTCAGAACTGTTGAAGTGCCAGCCCATGAAGTCAAGTGAAAGCTTGTGGGGAGATTATGTGGGAGAGGAAAGGAATAAATTTGTTGAAGGGAGAGATGAGGACTCATAAGGTTGCAGTTAACTGAATTTACATTGATTCTGAAATAACCCATTTCCTTGATTACTTTGGGCTTATGTAAGCTGAGGAAAGATTCCCCACCGGTTCTTACTTATAACCTTAACAGAAAGACAGACCTTTGTTCTATGATAGCTGATGCAATTCTATTGTTTCTGGACACACTCTGGTCATCTGCTTGACATTAGGAATAGCCACTCAAATGGCCGAGAAACTGTTCAGATGCAGGTCTCCAGTGGTTATGCTAGAATATAGCTCATTTTGCCTTGACAGTTGGCTACAGTTTGGTGTACGTTTAACTGCCCTATAATTTCGAACACATCTTACTAATTTTGGTCTTTCGGTAATGGTTTGCACCTGTCTTGGGTTTCATTGCCTATTTAAAAATCAATGAACCACAAATACTTGAGGCCTGCTGAAACTAACCATATTTCCTGTGACTTTGAAAAACTATTGATCCAAATATGCTCCCCAGTAACTGCATGTCAAGTCTTTATAGCAAGGTTAATTCACTTTATAGCCTTCTTAACACAGGAGGGTTTATGCTTTATTACATATCCAGTACTCCAGATAGGATGCAATGAATTTTAAAGTATCCACAGTGCAAGGCAGATCCAGTGTGTTAACCAAGCTCAGCATTTCCCTTCCAACCTTCTTAAAAAGATTTTTTTATTTATTTCAAATGGGAACACAAAAACAGAAGTTTGCACTTATTTGTGTTTGCATTTAAGAAGGGCAGAGAGTCACCAGAAAAGGTCAAATGCTATTTCTGTAGGGTTGTTTTTTTTGTTTTTTTTTTGCAGGGTCCATCTGACAAACATGGGACAGAAAAGCATTCATGAAGCAAAATGCCACTGCTTCCGTAAGCCTTGGTGTAAAAATAAAATTCTGAAGTTCTTAAGCAAAGTTCTTAACCTGTGGTACCTCGGGTTAACATACGCTTCAGGTTACAGACTCTGTTAACCCAGAAATATTACCTCGCTTCAGGATGAGAACAGAAATCGTGCTCCGGCGGCGTGGAGGCAGCAGGAGGCCCCATTAGCTAAAGTGGTGCTTCAGGTTAAGAACAGTTTCAGGTTAAGAACGGACCTCCGGAATGAATTAAGTACTTAACCCGAGGTACCACTGTATTAGAGAAAGAATAATGTTCCAAGTCTCTTGACTTCTGAACTCCTAAAAGGCAGATTATTGTTATGCAAAGTAGTCTGCCCTCAAAACTTAAGTTTAAAAGTTCCATTGGAAATGCTTCTGGTACCATTGTCAATTTCATCTAGGGTCTAATTCCTGGCAAAAGGCACATAGGAGTTAGTTAGTGAGCTACCCCTGGCTCAACTCATAGTTTTACACTATGAATTTTCTCAGAGAACTATCAGGAAAAAGTGAGGTCTTTCCAAGCTTCAACCAAGCTTCAGAAGGAAGCCCCTTCCATGCCAGATTTTCCCTTTCCCAAGCAAATTTACCTTAACAACAGTCGAGAGAGTGAGCAAAGTGGGTAGGTTTGAAACAGCTGGCATCATATAGGCCTCTGGCTTCTGATCTCAGGGGCATCCTTAGACACTTGTGTGCATGAAATCTACTTTAATTGACCTGGGATGCACTAGGTCCTAAAATCTCCTTCAACTGCAACCGTGTGCATGCTCGGAAGCATCAAAATCTTAACCACGAGGCTTCTCTGGCCTTTAATGTCCCCTGTTATACCTATAGATTCCCTGTCTTTTTCAAGGATGGTTAGTTTGCTTGGGAAAGGAGAGTCTGATGGGAAGGGCTGTCAACTGGTAGGCCTAATATAACCTTGGTCTGATCTTGAGAAGGCATTGGAACTCGGGGGCTGTATCCAATGCTAATCCTACCCAGAGACATTGAAGTTAGTAGATATGACTGACTTAGGTTCATTAACCCTGCCCTGGGGTCCCTTTTTCTTTAAGCATTAGTAATTGCTGAAGGGGGCATTAGGGAGTGGGTGAGTTGCAGAGAAAGCCTTGCTCAATCATTTCCACATCTTCATTTTTCTGCCCCAAATGAGCCCCACAAGCCTGGTGACACCTCATGGTATCCTGGGACGGTGTCAGGGCTCCAGCATCCCAGCAGGGTTCACTTCTGACATTTCTTGTGGGCTACCCTTTAAATCATGCATCCCCTCCTGCCATTTCTTAGGTGACTGAGCGAATGCCATTTTTATTCAAACCATTTATATACTGCCTACATTTAAACAAAACTCTTAAGTGGTAATTTTGCCCAATACCCGCCATACAGCATCCCTCTGGGCCACTGAACTGCTCACCACAATCACAGGTTAATCCCACTGAAGAGCACTAGAATAGGAGGGCGCCCAGTGCTAAGGGCCCCTTTCAAGCCTGAAGTTGGTCCTCTGTTGACTCTGCTTGCTCCCTCATGGAGTTCTAAACACATGTTTACAAAGGTGTTGAACATGTATCTATTGCACGTCTGCTCCAAATTATCTATCCCCATCCCAGAAAAAGCTGCCGTTCTTTTCAAAAAGTTGCTGGGAGAATCATACATGATTACTTCTGTATACGCTCTCTAGTGTGGACCTTTGCTACAAAAGGTAGATAAGAGAAATATGGGTGCTTTATTTGTACAGTGGTACCTCGGGTTAATAACTTAATTCATTCTGGAGGTCCATTCTTAACCTGAAACTGTTCTTAACCTGAGGTACCACTTTAACTAATGGGGCCTCCCGCTGCCGCCACACGATTTCTGTTCTCATCCTGAAGCAAAGTTCTTAACCTGAGGTACTCTTTCTGGGTTAGCGGAGTCTGTAACCTGAAACATCTGTAACCTGAGGTACCACTGTATTCAGTCAGCGGCTTCAAATATTGATAAGCCTATTATTTGCACTGATTAGCCTACTGTTGATCAGAAGTAGATAACCAGTATATTGTATCTTAAAGACACATAATGTAGCAGTTGTCATGCTTTATTCTGCTGAAGGATGAACCCCCAGCTTGATACAAAATGAGACCATCTCAAAAGAATTCAGAGTTAATACATACAATGTCTACTCTATTCTGAGCTCATCGCCCCAGACACTTTCTCGTACCTGGTGCAGGGAAAGTTTATGGGTGGGCCTCCATCAGGATCGCATTAAGCCTAGACAAGGAACTATGGAAATTTAAGAAAGGAAGGAGCTAGGGGAAGGAAGGAACAGTGATAATGGCAAGAGGAAGGCCTTACAGTCCTGATTTCTTAAAGAGTTCGGAGGATTTGAATTACAATGGGCTTGGGGATGAATGATTCAGAAGCTGCTGTCCAACAACAGGCATAATCATTAATTTCAGCCACACATTGCCATTACTGGAGAATCAAATGTTTAGATATGGCCCTAGAGAGGGGCAATCCTTTCAAAGTTGTTGCTTATTCTCAGGTGACAGCAAGAAAACAGAGAAGAAAAATAACTTCACATAGCAATATTTGAACTCCAACTATGATCAAGATTACACACATCAACTCCCCATTGACATATAAAGGGGAATTACAAATGATCGCTGATAAACTGTTTCTTGTGGGCTGCAAGAAATATCATGCATAATCCTCCCACTAAGAATGAAACACCACAACAATGCAGCCATCAAAGCCATCACTAAAGCAATCTTCTTCTGACATCTGTTCCATAAATTACTATTAACAACCGATGGGAGGGAGGAACCCCTATATTCTTTCAACATTTTCATGAGCATCACTCCCACATCTCCACACTATGCACAAGTAGATAGATATTTGCCTACTAGCAAACAAAACCCTATCACAGCACTGAAATCTAATGGAAATGAAAACGTGTTTTCACCTCTAATTCTTGAAGAATTATATCTAACAAGGTATGTTTTAAAAACAACAGCACAGATCATAGAATCACAGAGCTGGACGGCAACACTTCACAGTCCCCCATCGGATTTGAAACCATACCGGACCCTGCTTAGCTTTTGCAAATGTGCTAGCAGTTTTATTACTCCATTTTGACAACGCAAAGGTAAGAATAAAAGAAGTGTGGGGACCACATGTAGTTTGTGTAAGAAATCCCTGCCCATAATTTATTGCAGGAGAGGGTGCACCTTCCTTCATACCTAGTTTCCTTTCCCTTGCACAATCACTTAACAATGAGATGAGCACGAGAGTGCTCACCTTCCACAGAATTATTACACCCCCCCCCAAAAAAAGCACAATTTCATTCAGGCCTTGTGCCACTTTTGTCATCTGCTGCTTGGTAACAGAATGAAGAACAAATGCATTAAACGTTGCCTGGGGAAGATCCAGCTGGTTCAAGGGGCAAAAAGGTCCTTTAGGCACCCGGCAAGATGAGAGGACCCTTTCTTGTCCTACGTTAGTTCTGCACATCCATATGCAGAGGATTCACTTTAGAAGTATAGATAGCAATAAAGTCACTTACGGAATGCAGTATACAGTTCTTGCAGAGTTAAGTAACCATCGTTGTTGTAATCATCAAATCGGAGAAGATCCTCTGGTGTACAATCTGAGAAAACTTCTTCCAGGTCGTCCCTTTTCATCAACTGTTGAGATCAGGAAAAGAGGTGGAATCATTAGAATTACTTAACCAAATTTAATTGAATATACTTTTTATTGTATGGGAAAACTGAACACTGAGATATTGTGGGGTGGGGAAATAGGCCATAAAAAGTACATAAGCTTGGTATGTTTAGACAAAAATCGCATTTTGTTAGGAATGTTGAGCTTTTCCTGATGTTTTCCATTGTTGCTTGAAGGCTTCTACAGCTACCTTGTATGAGATCAAGTGGTTGGAAGGCAGGAGTCGCCAATAAATCACCAGGAGTCATCAGTCACCAATGTGATTGTTTTATGTTGCAAAATTTGTTGCAATATATAGAAATATTATACATCAAAACTAAGCTATACATGGCCGTACTACATGCATGTTGTAATAGAAAAGCCAAGTTAACCCCAGCAGCAGCAGCAACAACAACTTTGTATGAAGTAGGCAAAAATGTCTCAAAAGCCAATCAGGAATCATTCAGAAAGTTCCTATTTAACACCTAAACTGGCTAATCCCCTACTTCCAAAAACTTCGGGAAGTTTGTATTGTGTGTATTGTATTGTGTGACAATGCAATACAAGGAAGTCTCATGATACCATTTCAAAGATGGGGTGGAGGCAAACATGAGAATGCAGAAGGCCAAGATTCAAGTCACCAAGGAAATGGTCAAAGAGTGCTTCATGTTCTTCATGATATCAGATGTGGCTCATTTCACTGGTGACAATGTCAAGTAATAATGCTAAAAACATGACCCTTCATCCACCATGTAAAATAGTCAATAAAAGTGAAATCAACCACAACTTCCAGGGTCTACCTTTTAAAGATAGAAATTTCCCTTTGTCTGCTTTTGTATTGAAAATTGATTAAGTTTTCACAATACTGACAAGCTCCTTTGATTTAATGCCAGGAAAGAAATCACTTTAGCAGTTATGAATTTAGCAGATTTATGAATCTGACCCTACAGACACAGCTTTAAATGAAAATAATATTTCAATTACCATAGCTGTTAATGGGCTTGTATACTCAGAAGTTTATCTGATATTTCTCAAGAATAAGGCTGATGTGTGTGTGGTGGATTTCAATCAAATGTTTTTAGTGGCTAAGACTGAATTTGTATCATGAATTAAAAGAACAAAAAATGACCTTCTACTTATTTATTGCTAGGGGCGCTTTTCTCTCTGAAAAGAATTATTTGACATTAATTGAAGCAAATAAGTTGGCAATTCTCCAAAGGCTAAATTCCACTTTCCCTTAACTTTCCCTCTTTTTTTTTAACCAGTTCAATACTGGGTAGGGAGAAAGATTTGGCAGATGTGTTGCAACAAAAATATGGTCTACATTAAAAACAACAACAACCTATCCTTCCTTTCAACCAAGTTAACTAAACTAACAGAAGCAATTATCATGTTCCTACATTAATTTTTGATGAATCCTGTTAATCATTTAATCATTTAATATCATTGTTATAGCTTCTCATTTATTTATCAGTATACAATATACAAGAGCACTGACAGTGTATACTGACAGTATATCCTCTGCCCAGACTGTCATCTTATACAAAGCCCTGCTACATGCAACAGCTACATGCCAAATTTGACATACATAAGAGAGCCTAGGAAGTGATACATCATATATAACTACATGCCATATGAGAATAGCTATGATGTGGAAGTCAATATGGGCTATGAAAACAAAGCAGTGGCCTCCTGCCAAATCCTCTGCAAACTTGGAACATAAGAATATAGGTATCTGTCTTGCGCTGAGTCAGATCATTGCTCCATCTAGCTTGGAGCACCTCTCCAGGACTTCAGGCAGGGACTTCTCCCAGTCCTACCTGGGGATGCCAGGGATGCCACAATGCAAGGCAGATGCTCTATCACTGAGCTATGCCCTTTCCCTAACTGGACACAGCAGAAAGAAGGCTGCATTTGCTCCCCTGATCCAAAGGTTGAGTAAACATGGGTAAACATCCCATGGGTAAATAGCCTATGAAGATAGTGTCCCTTCCATCTCTTTACTTTCTCTTGTGTGACTTACTGGCTGCCATTTGCTCCTGTAAAACTTTGCACTTTGCAACATCACTGCAGCGTGTGGGGAAATGGCCAGCCATACCTTCCTCTGGCTTGTCTGGATTCCACTGCCAGGGAACTCATACAAGGGTGCAATGCTTCAGGGACTGAAATATAATAGGTTCCTGAAACAAAGGAGTCCTCCCTCCACTTCCCTTCATAAAAACAATAGGTCTCTCTCTCTCTCTCTCTTCCTCCTTAAGCCAGATCATGTTACACTTTAGAATGACCAAAGAGAGAGCCCTAGATTTATGTAGTTGTGCAGATATGAGCATATTTTATTCTATGTGAAAGGCACTGCAAGTATCACAGAACAGGTATGGCCCATGCCTCAGGGGTGTTCCTGAGTGAATGTCCTTATTTTCCTCTACAAACAAATGGTTTATGTTTACCCCTAAGGGAGAGAAGTAAAGTGCTCACTACTCGGTCCAGCTGAAATTCAAGGCATATGAGAACACAGCTCATGTCTATGTGCTCAGGAGCCTTGGCAATATGCAAGCCCTCCCTCCAAACAAATAAATCTGCTAAAATGATGGGAATTCTGCTCGTAAGATAATGAAAACCACTTCTTTCATTCCATTGTAACATGCAACATATATAGTAGCTACTCCCAATGCCTGATTACATTTGCATTTTGCATTGTGGCATCACACACACACACAAAATGACATTTTTCAGTTTTTTCAAGCCTGAAAAATATCACATTTCTGCTCAACCAATTAGTGCTCATTCATGAATTTAGCAGACATTGGATGTGATATGGTCTTTCCTTCTTTGATCTATCATAACAACTCAGCCAAAGAGGTGATTTCGCAAAACTTCTCATTCAAAACATCTCAACATGCCATGTTATTGTGACAATTAAGTTGCGCAGCTATTTAATCCTTTCAAGGTGGGACTTACTAGGAGTACATTCCAGCACAAAAACAAACAAAACAGATGGAGAAAGAAATATTGTGTAAGGGCTAATCAACATTTCAGTTAGGATGCTTATTAGCCAAATCCATTATGTGGTTCCCACCCTCCCCTCTCCTTCCTTAGTTCAGGGAACTTAGGGATGGGGCAATATTTGCCCTTTCCTGGTCTTTTGCAGAAGGTAAGGCAGCATCTTGCTGCCTCCTGAAAACTCTCAAAAAAATATAGCCCATCATCAGTTGATGCCTCCCTGCCCTCAACTGTCAGTGGGAGAGATGGGAAGCAGAGCTCATTCCATTGAAAATTCACTCCTGAAAATTTGCAGAGGAAAAGGAGAGAAACTACCCAGCAGATCTCCTAAGAACATTAGAAGAGCTTGTTGGATCAGGCCAATAGCTCATCTTGCCCAGCAAGATGCCTGTGGGAAACCAACGATCAGAACATGAGAACAAGAGCCTCTCCCCTCTTGTGGTTTTCAGCAACTGTGTCATCTTACAAGAACAAATGGAATCCTCCTTAAGGAGGGTCCTGGTTGCGCACGGGCCCCTAAGGCACCCCCGCTATGAGAGTTGTTGCCGGGCGTAGCCCAAGTCTTAACCGTTGGGTCCCAGGATTGTGCCAGGCTGTTTGGGCCAATTGGGGCAGTTGGCATGATTCCTGGGGCCTACGAAAGTGGCAGTGCGCTGTAACTGGAGGCACTTGCTTTGCGCTGCCAAACACCCACCCTCCCTCCCTAATTTTAGGCGGTGCTGCTTTGGCCTTGCTTTGGATTGGGTCGCCTGCTTTGGAGCAGGGGCTGGGTAGGAATTTTTTTCCATTTGGCAGTTTGGCTGTAGCCACTTGGTTTTTGCCTATCCCCTTAGCAATTGTCACAACTTTGCAAGGTTTGGCGGTTAGGCATTGGCTTATTGAAGTATGTGGGAGGGGAGGTGCAGCCATCACTTGCCCCTCCATGAATAAGGGTATTCTGGTAAAGGAATCTGGGGTCCTGGATCTCGTCTGAAGTCCGCTTGAGGGGCTAGGGCCATGCCAGGACCACAGGAACCCCGGGGTAAGCTTCGGTTGGTCTTCATTGATGTTGCTCCCTTGTTTGGTGCTTACCCTTTCAGACTTCCAGCCAGAGAGGCAGGAGTCAGTTATAGTCTGTTGCCAATGCATAAGCCAATACCGCTCACTTTGCTGTAATCAAGAAAGTTGTGGCCTAAATTTTGCCCAATGACTTAAACTAAAAATTACGTGTCAGTGTGAAGTTATTTTCAGGGGAAGGGCTTGGGGGCCTCGAAGCACAAATGAACACGCTGGATCAGATCAAGGGTCCATCCTTCTTCTTGGTTAGCAGGATCTTTCTCAAAAATACATAATCAGGGCATGATGGGAATAACCTTCCACAGCATGATAATAAAGACAATATCACTGTGTGTGTGTGTGTGTGTGTGTGTGTGTGTGTGTGTCTCACCACCATATATCTAAATTGATCTATTGTCAATCAACACTTCTGCAGCTACAAAAGGATATTGTACATGTGGGACAGAAACTGTTGTTAATGAAATTTTTAGTATTAGAGCATCTCAGAGGAAGGAGGGAGAATCTATGCTGATTTTCATATTTAAATATTTTTCAATGCAAATAAAATCTGATATCTGTCAGCGAGCAGGGCATGTTTAAAAAAGATGATTGCAGACGCAAACCTATATTTGCCAGAGAGCTAAGGAGGGGGAAAAAAAACGTGGCATAGAAAATTCTTATTTTGCAAAATATCCTTAACAATATACAATAATGCCACCGCTTCCTGAGGCAGATGGGAGAAAAGTCAGCTACGGCAAGGTATTTCATAGTCTAATTTTCAGCAGAGTTTTACAAATCCTCTTGAGGATTCCACTGTGGTTACACTCAATTTACACTTTGAATGGGAAATGCAGTCCACTTCATAATTTGATTTTCATTGAACAACAAACCCACCTGAGCCAATTCAGAGCTGCTGAGGTGCCCATCACCATTTATATCCAAGTGGTTAAACATATCTTCAACTAAGAAGCGCTTCTGGGTTCTCTCATCTCCTGGGTGATTTTGCTGCCTCTGCCGGTGAGATTGAAGGTCCAGCAGAATACCCTTCAGTTGACGGTAGTCTGCCATTGTACACGTGTCACCTGAAAGATAAAACATGATTATGTGACTGCATGCCTCTCCCTGCTTGATCTGCTAAAAGACTGCACTTCTACAGAGCCAGAAAAGGTGCCGCCCAAAGGGAGATGCCCTGCACCTACTGAGGTTTTCAAAAGCAATGCTTTAAGATGATCCTAATGAGATGCCCTTTCATAAAGACAAGGTTTTTCCCCTCCCTAAATCCCACCTCCAAGGAACTTCATCAGTATCTCACTTTACAGATTATACGGCTTCACTCAGCAGACAACCGTGTAAAATGTAATATCTGCTGAATGCATTAAATGTCCTCTAGATGCTTTTTTTAAAGTATCCTTATTTGCCCCCACATAGTCGCAGTTTATGCACCGCTGCGTTTCCACAGTGCAGTCCGGTTTTTCTAATATATAAGGAGAAGATTAGAGTGGCTTTGAAGTGGTGATCATAACTAACTGAGTCTCAAGGCGTGAACTGCTGATTATCAGACGGAAGTCCTGCGCTATCATTTGCACACTGTAAATATGCCATTTACAAGCTGAAACTCAAATTACCAAACTCGAAAACCATTAGTTCTGCGGCTGTGTTATATTACAAAACTTCCAAGAGGTTTTTTTTTAAAAAAATAAACAAATAAATACAAATAAAAGAAACAATACTGCTTGAAAGGGGCTTGTTGTACCAGGACCCACATGACTTAACCCTCCCCTGTGCTGTTTTCAAGCTCTGACCCATTTGACACCACATCACATAATGGAATGCTCTGTGCACTCTTCTTCGACTGCATCTCAGGAGGATGTACTTGGTAACATCTGCAAAAAGAACTCCCTACTGTAGAAGGGAGCACAACTAGCCTAATCAAAGACTTGAACTCAGCTGGCCAGGTACATAGCACTGTAAAGCAAAGAGGATGGAGGGCAACTCCAAATCTTCCCAGACGTTTCCCCAGATATCCTGATTTCCATGGGACTGACTTCCTGATAATGAGTTCAAGATTAGGATGATAGGCTATGAAACCAAAATGCTGGTTTGCCGCTGCTATTTTCCCCTTTCTGTCAGTGGAGGTTGGGACAGGGACCAGTGAAGTGTGTAAGGGACCACTAATGTTCAGAATAAAAAGATCCCATAAGTAAGTCTGACTGGGGAAACAGTGGACAGAAATGGAGTAACACTGAAGCGGAGTATGTATTAGTGGAAGAGCCAACATTTTGTTACAACCAGAGGCGTAGGAAGGGGGGTGCGGGGGGCGCAGACCAGACCAGGTGTCATCGCTGAGGGGGGGGGTGACGACTCCCAAGCCTACCCCGAGCCATTGATGTGGGGCGTGGGGGGGGGGGGAATTCCACCTGACCTTGCAACGCCTCTGGGTACAATTGTATCCTTTCAAGAATGACTATGTTCTAAAGAGTGTTTTTATGTGCATTTTGTTGAACACATTTAGAAACCTCCCTGGTAAAACAGAGTTTCTGGTTGTGGGAAGGTTTCTAAGACTAGAACATACTCCTAAACTCTCTATACTTTTCACAGGAAATGCATGAAGGTCCCAAAAAAGATTCTGCATGCCTGTGGGGACGCTGCGAGGCAGATCGTTTTAGCTCCTGTGTCTTTGGGTGAATCGTGCTTTAATGGAAACGCAAATCACGGGAGAAGGAGAACACCAAGAGAACAGAAACTCTTCCTTTTAAAACCCCACTCCCACAATAAGTAGAGCTGCACACTGTAATTGGTATATTAATCAACTAAAGCTTTAGGCAATTAATCAAAGGATGCCACTTTTAATCAGTAAGTGCAGATTTTCATCAGTGGGGCTGTGAGTTAATAGCACAGTTGTTATGTAACCATTTTAGCTCTGGTTTATCTATTTGAGAGGAATGGGGGGGGGGAAATACTAGAAGTGGCCTTTCCCTTTGCCCATCAGCACTGGATTTTGTTTATGGGGCTGTAAATTATTATACACTTCCTTCACTGTCTCAGTATACATTGTGGTGATGGGCAATTCAGCAAATGTAATTTAATCAATGTAAATTTAATTGACTAATGAACACAGTAATTGGTGACATGCCATTTAATTAATAATAAAAAAAACATTATTTAGGCTGCAGTCCTAAGCACCCTCACTCGGCAGCAAGGCCTACAGATTTTTATTTATTTTTAAATGATATTTATTCAAAGTTTCATCAATACATAGAAAATCCCCAACCCTAGCCCAAAAAAGAAAAAATAGAAAATAAAATAAAAAGAAAAAATACAAATCTCCAATTACAATTTTTCATTTGCTTAGTTCTTGAACCTCCTCACACCTCCCTTTTTGTATTCTAGTTTAATTCATTATTTCAGCAAATTCTTCCCATATTTCTCAATTTTAATTTAAATAGTTAATCGTCACACTCTTTCTTATTTATTAATCAACATAGCCTTTCCCTCTTTTAAAATAATCTATTATTCAATTCACCTTACTCCATTTAATCTTATCTTATGTTAAAAATCTTAAAATTTCAAAAACACAACACATTCATGCATTTCTCCTTAAAAACATTTCTACTAAAGCCAATTTAGTTCCTTTCCGGCAAAATCCCTCAAATTTCAATAATATTGCATTAATTCCAAAGCTAACATAAAAAAGAATCCCCTTTGTATTTCTAATTTTCATCCAACGTCCCTTCTTCCTGGTTTCGGGTCATATCAGTCCTTTCTGTCCATTACTTAGTCCATCAATCTGGTGTTCTGATGTCCGAGGCTCTTAAGTCTCTTCTAGGCCCCTTCTGCAGATTTTTTTGTTCTTGTTTGTACTTACGCAGTTCTTTGTCTATTGTTAGTTTCCTCCTGCGATGATGCTACATTTTAATATTTTAATGTTTCAGTATTTTAATGTTGTATTTTAATTTTGTTTTTAAGTTGTAATCATTCAACTTGTTTTTATTATTGCTTGTTAGCTGCCCTGAGCCTGGCCTTGGCTGGGGAGGGCGGGGTATAAATAAAAAATATTATTATTATTATTATTGTTGTTGTTGTTGTTGTTGTTGTTGTTGTTGTTGTTGTTGTTGTGTATTCAGTGGCCAGGAGTGCCTTCCATCAGCTTCAGCTGCTGGCCCAGCTACACCCCCATCTGGACAGGGATTGCCTAGCTACTGTTGTCTATGCTCTGGTAACCTCAAGGTTAGATTACTGCAATGCATTATATGTAGGGCTACCAATTAGTTAGGGACACGGGTGGCGCTGCTGGTTAAACCACAGAGCCTAGGACTTGCCGATCAGAAGGTCGGCGGTTTGAATCCCCACGACGGGGTGAGCTCCCGTTGCTCGGTCCCTGCTCCTGCCAACCTAGTAGTTCAAAAGCACATCAAAGTGCAAGTAGATAAATAGGTACCGCTCCGGCGGGATGGTAAACAGTGTTTCTGTGCACTGCTCTGGTTTGCCAGAAGCAGCTTAGTCATGCTGGCCACATGACCTGGAAGCTGTACGCCGGCTCCCTCAGCCAGTAAAGCGAGATGAGTGCCACAACCCCAGAGTTGGCCACGACTGGACCTAATGGTCAGGGGTCCCTTTACCTTTACCAATTAGTTTCCAGGCCCAATTCAAAGTGCTGGTTTTGATCTATAAAGCATTAAACGGCTCAGGACCACAATACCTCAAGGACTGCCTCTTTCCATATGAACCTACCCGGACCCTGAGATCATCTTCTGAGGCCTTGCTTTGTGTGCCGCTTCCTCGAGAGGTCTGGAGGGTGGCAACACGAGAAGAGGCCTTCTCTGCAGTGGCTCCCCATCTGTGGAATGCTCTCCCTGGGGAATTTCACCTGGCATCTTCATTATACACCTTTAGGCAACATGCAAAAATGTACCTTTTTAACGAGGCCTTTGGTTGATCTGATTTACATCCTATGCCCTTTTAAAATGTGTTTTTTGTGGGGGAGGGGGGCTTTTGGGTTGTTGTTTTTATTTTTATTATGTATTTTGTGGTTTTATATCTTGATTTTTTTCTGTGAACTGCCCTGAGACCCCCAGGTATAGGGCGGTATGTGAAGAAGAAGAAGAAGAGGAAGAAGGAGGAGGAGGAGGAGGAGGAGGAATAATATTGGCTATAACCCTTAATGTGCATATAAATATCTCAAACATAAGACGGTGGTGCCTTCCTCACCTAAAGAGAGTGAAGTCTCCATATTTAAAACGACATTGAAAAAGGATTCAAATGACCGGTTCAAGACAGAGCTAGCACTTGATAAGCTACTCATGTTTCAGTTTGTCTTTTATGAATAGGTGTCTCTTTTTATATGAATGGCTAATCACAGGGAGCATTTCTACTCAGCCAATTTATCCTTTAATATCATCCTGTGAGACGCATGGCTACCCCTCCGCCTGCATAGATAAAAATCACTGCTTGACACCTCTAGCACATCAGGGCATCACTTAAGTCCTATTCAAGCATCCCCCCCCCCATCCACAATTAAAAGCACATAAGGAAAGGGGAGGGGGTAGGCTGGCAATCTCTGCCCCTTCAGCGTTGAAGGGTAGCTTGACCTCAGGTTCTTTAGGGCTTTATAACTAAAACTTTAAATCTGACCCAGCCCCATATTGGCAGCCATTCCAATGCCTTTAATGGTGCTATAATGTGTACATACTGTAGCAAGACGTCCTACTCAGCAACCTAGCTGCCCTATCCTGTACTGGCTGCAGCAGCTTCTGTACTCATGGAGGCTCCTTGCACAATTCAGAACTCACAGTTTAGAAGCTGCCTTGGTTGGTACACCAGCTGTGACCATTCCTGGTCCAGGTCAGCTTCAGCTCTGAGGTTCATGCATTGGTAACTAGACTGCTGTAATGCTCTCTATGTGGGGCTGCCCTTAAGGTTGGTCCAGAAGCTGCACAGGTTTCTGATAGAAGGGCTCAGTAAGAATACCAACCATCTAGCATTTTTCCCTGCCCCGACTTTTGCCTCAGGTTTGCTATCAAATATTGCGTTTAATAAATATCATTGCATTTAATACATCAAGCAGAGATAGAGAGAGAGTTAA